TCCGAGTCTGCGCTCCGAAGCATCTCCGGAAACGGCATGAGCTTGCCATGCGCTGGCTTTATTTTGTTGATGACACTGCTATGTGTGTCACCTCGTTAGCCAGTCGGTGGAGTAATGGTTTTTTTTGTCTACTGTAACATACACCTAATTCAGCCAAAGCAGAGCAGATGATGCCTGCCAGCTCCGAAGCAACACCACTCAGTGTGAAAGAACCTGGCTGTGTTTTTCTCTGTTGTCCAAAGCATGGGTGTAAGAAGGTGAAGGAACTTTTGCTTAAAGTGGCGCCCACTTATGGTGAACGGTTGAAATTGGAACGTTGGGCGAATACAAACAGCATCTCAGCTCAAGGCTGAAATGCCACCATTCGGTGTTGAAAAAGAGGAAGCCCCAGGTTCGAAACCCTTGCCTTTCCTGAGTGTGCAAAGCCATGATCCAGTAAAACATCTTCCTGCTCCTGGCCTCTTTGGGAGTGAGCCTGCAGAAAGAGTTTCTGGCCCAGCGCCAACGAAGAACCCTTCTTCACACCGGTTCCAATCCAGGCCCCAGCCATCCCTCAGCTCTGTCCTCTGGGGTGAGGAGCCAGAGGAGGCTGGCCATGATGTCAGGCAACCTTTGTCAGAGTCGAGCAGTGGTTCTGAAGCTGATTATCGAGGGTCGGCGCAAACGGTCTTTTCCATGGGTTGGAACAGTTTACTGGACTTGAAGAAGGCCACCTTTTGGAAGGAGGGCGTGAACAGCGCCCCAGAAAAGAAGAAGCGCAAGTACAACAACACTGAACGCGCTGCAATGGCTAGCTACAGTCGGCAGAGCTCTGCAGGGCACTTTAAAGAGAATGGGGTTGATCCAGGGCGACTTCAGAAGCTCTTTAAATTGCCATCCTGCCAATGTGCCTTGTTCTTGGGATGTTTGGGTCAACCTGGGCTTCAACTCAACACCCCACACCAAGGGTAAACACAATTGGGCTATGGTTCAATCGTTCGACGACAGCCCAGGTGCTAATGTGGAATGCTTCAAGCAGTTCAAGAATTCAAAGGACCTGCCAAGCTTTCTCCGAACTTTCTGGAACATGCAGAAAAGCGATCAGGACTCCATGGTAGCTTGGTTATTCCACCACAGCCTAGTTTGTACTTCTTTTTGGTGACAATGTCCAAAACTCTAAACCCTGGAAATGCTTAAACCCTCAAAAGTATCAGCCATTTGGCGCCGTCCCAGGTTCAGCTTTGCTTAGCCACCACCAGTGAGTCTAGAGACAAGCAGTTCACCCTTCTTGACCGACCAGTTGGCTTCAAGTGTCTTGCGGCATTGCTGGGTGTGGGCACTGGTCGGCTGCGCAAAGGGACCACAAGCACCCCAGACCTGCGGCATGGCACTCGTCCCTACATGAGCAGACCGTCTACATGGAGTGTTGATGGTTTTCTTCGCATAGCGTACGATTCAGTGGCAGAAACAATGCCGGATGAGTTTCTTGCCATACCATCCATGGGTTCGGATTGTTTTTTACATTAAGATCTTTTGGAGGTGAGTGGTTGGGTTTTGATCATCTCTACGACTGGGCTTCTTGAAACAAAACAAACAAATTCATATATAATCTACAGCTGCAGGTTCATCAGACGTGGCAGAGCTTCCCAGAAGAAGAAATCTGATCTGGATAGTGATGGTGATTCAGGGTCTGAAGAAGTGGCTTCTGACGTTGAAAATGTCGAGGAGATGCGTGAGTGGTTGTCAACCACATCTGCCAAAAGTACACTTCTTCCCAATCAGGTTCTTGTGCGGAAGTTCCTACCACCAGGGAATGTGATGGAACTCTTTGAAGAGTACAAGGCTACCCAGCAAATGCTTGGAGGAAAGCCAGTGTCGTACCTCACCTTGGATTCAATTAAACGTGTGTTTTATGGGCCTTACACTGTGTATGGATGTTTTCCCAAGTCGAAATGTCTATTATACTTTGGAACGCCAAGAGTTTACAGATGTTTCAGGTACACAACATTCAACCATGTCTACAAGGAGCGCTGGCAAGACATCCTTCGATTTCGATCTCAATCCCTATTCACTTCTTGTGAAGTATGCTGCGCTTTCAAAACACAGTTGCAGGACAAGAAACTCACTTTTGAACAAAAGCTGGGGTGTCTGCAGGGATACAGGGCCCATTTACATGATCAATATTGTGACCGTACCACGATTTGGACACTTCAGTTTGAAGGTGCCGATCAACACTCTGGAATCCTAATGATTTGCACAGACGGCTTAGATCAAGCTAAATTTGCCCTGCCACGCGACCCACAACTTCGAGCAAACGCAGGATTGATGCTAGGTAGAATTCAGTGCTGCTTAAGTATCTTAAAGTTTTTGTTTTGTAACCTTCTGGCGCCGCCCCACAACAACAGCTTCACCAACACACCACCACTTGCCTGGTCCGTTGTTCTCAGGGCAAAGCACCAGCGTCCTCGGCTGAAGGTGCACGGGGTATGGTGCTATGGGTACACATTGAACATATCGATCCTTGACGACTGTAGCCGCCATGACAGCAGCGCAATAATAGAAATGATCTCCCAAGCCGTGGAGGATGTATCTTGGTCTTGCTTCTGCAACAGTTTTGAGCATTCTACCTAGCCGCATGGACGTTAAAGCTGCTCAGGGAAGGGTAGTCCTGAATGAACCTATAAACAAGCAAGGATTGTCACACCACAACACCCAAGGTCATGCGCATCTGTGATCGGGATCACCGTCCCCGACCGACCACCCTGGTGATCAACGCCGCTTACAATGACAATGACTTAATTGTTCTGTTTGTCTTATAGGCTTTGCCAAGGGGTGTTTGTCTTTAACAAAACATCCACATATCAGGCGGACAACACAGTCCGCGAGGCAAAGAACCAATACCTCCTCACGTATATCCATTTGGCAGTGGCCAAGCATTTGTTTCGCAGTGCTTGCCTCTGCCACCTCCGCAAGAGCCACACCCACTGCCGGGTGGGACCTTCAGCTGACTAAAGTTCAGCAAACTGTCTTGTTCTTCCTGTGGTGGTTTCTGTTTTTAACATAGGGTATAGCAGTATAGCATACCATTTTTTGAAAGGCAAGCCAAGCTAAGATCAGCTGTGAGGGATAATCGCACGCAGAGTGGCGCACGAAAGTGGCCTATTGGATCCCACCGATGTGATCGATGCGATCTCCTCAGAACTTTCGAAGCCCACCATCCGGGATTGGATCGGAAACACCACACAGGTTTCAGTCAAGAAACTCAACGCCACCAGGAGTTGGCGATCGCACTTGCCCTCGACTGGCGTGAAGCTTGAGGGGGGGCTGCTCAAAGATGAGTCCGGAAATCATATGTTTCTGTGCTTACAACGTCGAGGAGACAGGGTTCTTTAAAACAACATGTTCACAGGGAGAACCCACTTGTCAAGAGTTTGTAACATGTGGTAACCATGGTTGATTTGAGAACCCCGGCCCTGAGATCTTCCAGACACCTTCAAGTCGATGGTGAACCCAGGCAGCTACCGTGGGGTGGCCCACCCACACGACGTCATCTCACTGATCAAAAAGCACATCTGCGATTCCGATCTATCACAGCCGCCAATGCTGGTCCTAACACAGAGCCGAGCTAGCGCACTACAGATGGTTCCACAGGAGAAGTCGCTCAGATGTGTCTAATGAAAGTTTGTGCAACAAACCACTAATGAACCTAAATGTTTGTCAAGTCCTCTCAGCTCTCTCAATAGATGGGATCCCGTTCAGGTTATTTAATACCCACCAAATTTTAGATCAACAATAGGGTGAAGCTTCCCGAAAACCATTTGAAGTAGAAGCCTCAATTTCACAAGGTGGCCCAACAACCATTCTCGCCAATGGGCGACAGCGATGACCAAGCTGGCAGAAGCGGTTCACTTCTACTATGGCCACCAGTACGACAGGAGTGTGGTCTATCTCGAGAGTTTGGCAGCCAACGCTTTCTGGACAGCTGCTGAGTTTCCGGACATGCCGTTTCACACCCAGCATGCCCAACCTCAGGGCATGGGGGCTCCAAGATACATACTCCACCAGGCGGTGCTAAATGCATTGGCCCCAGCAATTCCTCTTAGAGCAGTATTTAGCCGAAACCAAGCATAGGACCAGAACACAGATTGGACTGTGTGCGCTTAAGGCGCTCAAGAGACTTCAGCTCCAGTCCAGCAACAAACAGCCCAGTGGGGAGATGAAGGGAGGGGGGTCAATACAGTGGACTTCCTATTCCAATGGAGTCTTGACCACAATTCTTTGAATCTCATATATTCTCATCCAACCACCACTTTCAGGGCAACACCAACACCACCACCACCACTTGCAGGAACACCGGCTTTCCTACACCACCACTTGTGGGTCAACAGTTTTGTGCACCAGAGATGGTCGGTCGACAATTTTCGGTGCACCACTCAAGGTCGGTCGATAGTTTTCAGGACACCACTGGGGGTCGGTCGGCAGTTTTCGGTGCACCACTGGGGGTCGGTCGGCGGTTTTCGGTGCACCGCTGGGGGTCTGTCAGCAGTTTTCGGTGCACCGCCCATTGTCAGTCAACTGTTTTCGGTGCACCCAGGGGTCCGTGGCAGAAGGTTTCGGTGGACTGGTTGGCAACGAGTCGATTGATTTTCAATGATTTTGAGGTCTGTCAACCCCAGCTTCTAAGGTCTTCATTTGGGGTTTGGAAGGGGAGTTGCAATGGTTTCATCTCATCTGGGTCAATTGATTTTTATCTAAGAACCATGAACAGGATCAGTGGACTGGTTGTGGGCCAGTCAGCTGAAACTAATTGGACAAAAATCCGAGCTTCAATTTTTTTAAAAAATCTAACATAAAAATTGAAGCTCATATTTTTTTAAATAAAGGATCGGTGGACTGGTTGTTGACCAGTCAGCTGAAACAGAATCAAGATCCTGAAAGTGAGATCAGTGGACTCAAAGGAGATCAAACCGTGTTCTTACAGTCACTTTTGGGATCAAAGGTGTCGCTGTTCGGCGCCCATCATGGCAGTGACACCGTTCAAAACGAAGGCCGAGGAGCGTGCTAAGTTGGTGAAGAAGGAAGAAGAAAAGGATGCCACAGAGCGTCCTGCCAAGCGCATGTGCAACCAGTATGAGAAGCAACTGGCAAAGATGTCAGGTGACTTGCAAACAGTGAAGGACACTTGATTCCTTTGCCAACACTCTTCATGGCTCATCACTTTTAAACTTATATAGATCCCGTCCTAAGTACATTTGATCAACGGGAGGTTTGACCCCAACCACCTGCTTAGTCTCACCAGGATCTTCTGGAGTATGTGGGTTCCTTTCGTGGTGAGCAGGCGACGCCTGGTGAGCACCCTGCAGCACTGATTGCTGAGATCTTTGCTAGTGACAGCGCAGAACACAACCACCTTCACTGCACACAGTTGGAAGGGTGGTACTTTGACTATGCCAAGATGCGGAACATGAGTTACCTCTTCAAGAAACCAGAATCTGTGGTGTCTAAGCAGAAATATCATTGATTTTTTGGTGTTGGCGTTCTCCCTGCAACACCACAACTTCCCAAAGTGAACCTGCCATGCAATAACCAGAAACTGGTTTTCGGGTTTGGGTATTTCTTTGCAAGCCAGTCGGCGGCTGCAATCAGGTAGTGGACCCATCAATGAAGGATGAGACCATCAAGGTTCCAATCACCTGCCTGAAGCCTCTCAGTCTGCCAAATAATAAGCATTTTGGTTTGTGACCGTCAAGTCTGAGAGCCTATCGCCACAGGGTTGTGGGTGCTGCCAACCATGACTAACGTCAGAATAGAGAAACTTCCAAATTACTTTTTGGATCTCGAAGATTGAATCTGCGGTCACTTTCTCGATCTTCAAAACTGCTTCACTTGTTGGTCAGTCTTTTGTCTTCTTTTGGGTTAATTACTCTGTTGATATCTTTTTGGACATCTTATTCATCAGGTTCTGCCCTCCAGAGGACGGCTACCCGGTCACAGAAGACTGGGCTTCCACTTTCGAATCAATGGTCTTTGGAGGAGTGCCGTGAGCCATTGGACGTGTCACTTGACTTTGCAGAAGGATTGGGGTGTGCCAAATGTTACTGTGTTTAATGGTGTGGACAATTTTTGTTTAATGGTTGCTGTGATTCCCTGCAGATACATGCCGTCCATTGGCTCATCAGTGCATTGACCAAATCAAGGGGTGGACCCGTTCTTCTGTGGTCATGACTGTGTTGCTGGCAGCTTCAGAGCTGGATCTCTCGGACCCGCAGTCCGCTCAGCTTCTCCAGCCTTTGTTTCCAGTGCTTGACAAGGCCTGGATGATTCCAGTGCATGTGCCCAGCCTCAAGTCAACAGTGCATCTTTTCCTATCTTTTCCTATCTTTTCCCACAAGACTTTGCCACTAGTGGGCTACTTTTCAACAATGCCCAGGTTGCTTTCAATATGGGGGCCACTCATCGCAGCTTTCGCAATATAACTTTGAGCTTCAGGGGAGCAGAGAGGCAAGCGCCGAGTGCCCTTCAGCTTGCTCTTCGTTTTTCCCGTGTGCTTGAAATCTACGAGCAGGAAGGAAAGCGTCACGCAGAGATGTCCACGGAACAACGCTTGCAAGATGCGGTCTCCGAGTTCAACCAGTCGCCAGGGCTGCAAGCCAAACATCGGATCGAAGAGGATCGCTTCCGGGCGGTTCTCAATCTCTTGAGTGGAACCAGTGAGGTGTCTGGTATTTGCTTGAATAGTTTGTCTGAATATTTGTACTGTTTGTTTGAGATGTTGCCCACCAATGTTTGGACTCGGACCCATCCATTGCAAAACTCAGGAGTCTCGAGAGGTCATTCGGAACCACTTGGATGCCCACAAGTGGGCTCAGTCGGCCTTTAGTACTGAGCAGTTCAAAGGATCAAGATGGATGCTCACCGCAAGTCCAAAGGCTTCGGCATGCCCTCCAGAGCTGCGCAAGTGCCTGACAGTCACACCCCACAGTCAGGCTCTTCACTTGAGATTGGTCATCAAGATGTTTCTGGACCAGGGCCGTCGGCTGAGAGCTTCTGCAAGGGCCAGGGCTAGACTTAGCAGTGCCCAGTTTGACTTGATCTGCGACTTTGCTTGTGTGTTCTCACATGTTTGGGAAGAAGCTCGGCTGCTGGCAAGCTGGAATGAAGACAAGGAGCAGGCCATGGCGAAAGCTTTCTTCCAACGGATTCTTGGCTTTGCTTCTTTCAGTTGGTATACTTTTAAAGACAGCCAGGGTTGGTATTCTTTTCAGTTGACTCCCTTGATTTTCTGTGAACTTCCTTTGAAGTGTGGCCCCATCTCAGGGACTATGCAGCAGAGATCGAGGCTGCGGTGACTGCCAAGCTGAGCTCCTGGAAGCCACAGCGCTTGTCCCTTTGGGTGGATCTGGTTGAGCCTCCTGCTGGACCATCAGGAGTGGCTTCAGCAGTGGAGATTGTCGAGATGGAGGACCAGGCCCAGGCAGCCCGCTACAGGGAAGTCTCAGCCAAGCTCTCGCAAGACATTGCATCAATGACTGCTTTCAACACTGCGTCCAGCGAGTCGAGCCGGCGCAACCATGTGGTCAATGTGATGCACCAGAAAGCTCAAGTGCAAGTGGGAAAGCAGTTCCTCAGTTTTGCCTTTTTGTTGGTATATATTGTTTGTTTTTTGTGGTGTGCCCTCTCCCAAGGGTTTTGCTCTTTGTTCACTTTGAACAACACTGAGCCATCGCTGCTCAAAGGCTCTGCGAGGCCTTCATGGAGAAGCATTGCAGAGTCAGCCTTGTCACCAAGAAGGATGGCTTTGACACTGGCTTGGACAGCTTCATCCGTGCTGCAGCTGCAAGCCGCAAGGTGTGGTGCTGAAACAAGAATTCTTTCCTGGCCCTCAATGGTTCCCATGGATGTTTAATATGTTCCCTCAATGATGTGAAGTTGAACCCATTTCAACCTGTTTCAGGTCGCTCCAAATGATGTGGACTGCATCCTGTACTTTGATTGCACCAAGCTGTGTGTGCTCAGCCAGGCAGAGATCAATTTGATCGGAGACTATGCAGAAAAGATCTTGTTCCGGAACACCCAGCGCCTGGTGCTAAGTTTTTTGTTGCGCCAAAATGAAAGCCACTCAAAGAACTTGGTTTCTCGTCCCACACATAAAGCACAATCTAGGATCTGTGCTGGTCTTGATTCCACCTCTCCTGGTCGGCAGCGAGAGTGGAGGATCACTCCGTGGAGACTTCAGGAGTGGGTTCGGGGGTTCGGTTGCGTTCACATTTCTTTTATTTCAACCACAGGTTGGATTGTCTCAAGGGGTGATTTTTTTCAACCACAAGCTGCCTGAGTGGGTTGAGCCAGGAAAATCGAGAATAAACTTCTCGCTTGCAAGATTGAACTACGGACGGTGTGCATCAACTTGAACTTGCAAGAGATCCATGGCAACAGGGAGATGCCTGGGGCGTTTCCAGTGTGGCTTGGGGTGCCAGACAGTGCACTTCCGCTGAAGGGCACAGCTCACAGATCAGTGCGCGGCGCGCCTGCACCAGATGCTGAGATGAATGTGTTTCTTGATCATTTTTTGGCGCAGTAAAGTTTTTGATATTCCAAATGTTTTCCTGGCACCATCACTTGTTGGGTTGCTGGCGTCAGCGGCCAATTTCAGGTTCTGCGGAAGCAGTCTTTGGCTTCGCCAAAGCTTGCAGCCAGATGCATTCCCCAAAGCTTTGGAAGAGCGAAACTTCATCGTGCCAGGCGAGGCCTTCTTGTCGCACGACTCAAGACGGTCACTAACAGACCTTCAGGAGACAGCGCAGTGGATGGGTGGCGTACCGGTTTGTCAATCCATCTTCGATGCGCTGACAGGTTGGGTATCTGTCCAAAAAATGTGTTCCTTCAGCTGCTGTGGTTAGTGCCCGTTCGAATTGGGAACCCTTGCAGGTGGCAGGAAGAACTTTCATGCCGCAGTGCTGGTTCATCCTACTCTATATGACGGGTGCGTTGAGCTCGCTGGCGTCCGCTCTGGCTTCATTGTTGTGTCATCATCAGGGCAGCCTCCCAGCCACAACTGTGGCAAGGAAATCATTAAGACCCACCTGTTGGAGGTGGGGTTTTTTGAAAGAGACCCCAAACATGTGGTGTTCAATGGTTCAACCCACAGATTCATTTGTGTTTGGTTGTTGCTGGTTTTGGAACAGTTGTCAGGCCTGGAAAGCTGGCCGTGCACCTATGGACAAAGCCACGCCGCGCTACAAGAGCAGCCCTGCCCAGGAAGATCTCCCAGCTGCACCAAGTGCACCCGATCTCAAGCTATGCCAAGTGGTGGGGGGGAAAATGGTGATCCCCCAAGATGTGAGGAAAGCGTTTCTCACATGCCCCGTATGGGGACCAGATTGGCGCGAGACACTCAAAAAATTTGACCAAGACTGGGGAGTTGCCATTCCTGATCCTGTGGGTGGGAAAGAAGCTTCAGCAACCAGCAGTGAAGCTCTTGCGACTGATGCAAAGGACTTCTGGGATGGCTACTTCCCAGGTGAGCCAACAACCTATGAGGCTTTGAAGGGCAAATACGGTGACGATTTGACAGAAGTGGCAGGTGTGGATGCTTCCACATCCTTTGTGCTTGCACCGGGACCATGCCTGTTCATCAACGCCAAGGAGGCAGTGCTTTTGAAGAAGAGTGACACTGCATTGATCTCGCACGGCGCAGGGACTTGGCTGCTGGCTGACAAAGCGGATAAGCTCTTGCGAGAGCAGCCGGGAAAAGCCATCCCATGCTGCTGGAGCACAGATCAGGCGCTGGTCATCATCGAGGACACGGGTTGCGCAATCCCTTTCACAAGAAACATGTGTTGAATAGGTGTTTTGAATTGTTTTGTACATTCTGTTTCCGCCTTCTTTCCATGGAGGAGGATCAGGTGGACAGTGCTGTGATGACACTTCGGAAGGCATTGCAGCACTATGAGGCAAAAGGCTATGTTGAGTATACTTTAGGCGGACATTTGTGCACCAGGCCGCCCAGTGTTCAGCAAGGCCGTGAGGCTGATTGCTTTGAGATCAAGGCAGATGCAGCGAATACATTGGCATGGAAGCCAAACGCAGTACCAACGAAGAACCTCAAGGCGGCGAACTTGGCGTCTGCATTTTCGTGGAGCCTGCTCGAGAACAGCCCATTGGATGTGGTGCCTTGAAACATGTTTATCGGCAATTTGTTTGGTGCTTGGTTGACGTCCCTTTTGTTCATTGAATGTTTCATAGACTTTTGCTGGCAGACTTTTGTGTTGTCAGGTCTGGCGGCTGCGCTTCTGGGCAAATGAGAAATGCATTGCACCAGCGAAGCCCTTGTACCACTTGCCTCACAACCTGGAGCTTCCCAAAGGCGGATGCAAGCGCCTGGTGTGACATGCCAGACTGGCATTTTCTTGGCCGGGCTTCAAGGCGATGCGAGGCCATTGCCTGTTGAATCTTTCTTGGTGTGATAAATCACACACGGGGGTCGTTGAGCGTAAGTGATATCCTTGGATATCCATGCTG